AACCTATGCAAAACCATCCACCTCATATCCCTCTGCTAAGCCCCTGACCTGTGATTGGCAAAAGTGTCCCGTCACTGGGTAAATTGATGCAAAAAAGTGCAACGTCAAGGATAAAGCCTCCTACCCCAGCTTTAATGTGCTGCCAAACGTAAAGCACCATCATACAAAAATGGCTGCATTCTCAGTGGGTGAAATGATACCCAATACCACTCTCATGTCGGTTAAGTATAGAGCCAGAACTGGGAGGCGATTAGCTTAGCATAGCATAAAGATACATAACTCCCTCTAAAATCCCAAACTGTCATTTTTACATTTTTGTATTTGTACAGATTAAACAAATGTGTTAATTGTTGTGTTTTAGAGCTGTTAGTAGACCTTTAGGCAGGTTATTGAACTTTGGACAGAGCCTCCAGTCCTTATGCTAAGCTAAAGCTAATCATGTTGAGGCTTCAGCTCTGCACTTATTGTAGGCACGAGTGGTATCAATCTTCTCATTGCTCTCAGCATATTTCACAAATGTTTTAATATAGACATGCAACTAATTCAAAGACAAACACTCACAGTGTTGACAGTTCAAACGAGGTCACTCCAAAAACTTATATAATATATTCAGAACAGTGTGTACTTTTTTGTGTGATTGTGAAAGGTTGTGTGTTTCCTAAGGTCAAAAATAAAAAAAGGCCTTTTATTACGGGTTTCTGAAATGAATAAGCCTCATACAAAAACATTGAGCCAGAAAACATTGTCGTTGTATTTTTGAATTCACACTTTCCGACCTGCTATTGAAACTACAACTGAGAAGAAGCTCACGTACCCTACTCCTGAAATCATTTTACCTGGAGGAGTGTCACTGTTCATTGTTCTTTCTCCTGTGTATTAACACAGATTTTTCCGAGTTGACGGACTTTTCAAACAGAAGCTTCCCTGCAGCCGGTAGGTCTGCTCTCCGCTGCTGAAAGGATTTTGTTAGAAACCTCTCAGGAGAACATTTGTTGAAAGCCGAGTGTGTTTGTTTTTTCTTGCCTTTACACATGAATGGCTGCTGTGTGCAGAACAGAACTGAGTCTGCAGCTTTGGCTTGTGCAGGAGAGCTGAAACACGCTCCAGATTCCTGCTGGACATGAAACTTGTACAATATTGCTAACATGTCTCCAGTCTGAGCCCACAAATTGAAAAGGACAAATGCAACAAACTCTCTGCGTGGTGTTTATTTTGGAAAAGGGGAGGCATCTTTGATTTTACACGATCCGGATTTAGAGGAAAAACAAATGCTTATATAGATTTACTTTTATTGAGTAGATTTTGCCCCACAGGGACAAACTTTAAAGGACCAGTGCAACTCACTCACAACTTCACTCTCCCTTTTCTAGCTTGAGGGAGAAACTACGTTCCACAGAAGGTGACCCGCTCCCTTTCAGCTGATTATACACGAAAACATATAGTGACAATGACGATTGATGACGATGATGGTACAGTCAAGGTTTTTCTAGGTTTTATGTGAAAAATAATGAATATGAATATGAATAGTGGACATTTTCTTTTTTGTGCAAGTAAATAGAAGTTTCTTAAATAGAAAGAGGAAATCCACCTTGTTTGTAACTTGATGATGAAGCATTTCTTGTTTTGCGGGTTTTGAAAGCTGCTTTCTAACCTCACTGGTTTTTAGCTGATGGCTCATACATTCTTTCAGCTGAAGTGAAAACTTGAAAGTCTTTTAAGCCGAACTTTACAGTTAAAGTTGACCACAATGTGCTTGAGTATGCCGGTGCATGTTCCTGCATGTGGACTCTTCTCTGTCAGAATGAGAATAAATACTTCTAAATCTGTGGACTGAACACAACAGACTTTCTTCTCACTGAGCGGAGCTGTAAAACACAGCTGATAAAAGATCCACCGGCAACCAGATCACGGCCGGCCTGCGTTTACTCGACACCCAGAGTCATTAACTGCTGCGTTACTCGCATAACTGCTCGGGTGTTGTGACACCTGCCTTCACCCTCTGAAAGAAGTCTTGTACATGTTTTATATGGCGTTGTGACACCATGCACACTGCGCTGGGTCAAACAGGACATGTTCACATGTAGTGTTAAAATAACTTAAAGCCACTGTAGCTCCTTGATAAATGGAGGTTCTTGAGAAGCTGTTATAATTTACACCCTTTGTGGCCAGTTTTGTTTGTGGAGGCAAAGATTAAACTGAAAGAAATACTCTGGAGGTTTATTATCGCACGTGACTTCACAGGTTGTAGAAGAGGAATGATACAGAAAAAGCAAAAATGCAGCATTAATGATGTGAAATTTCAGGCAACTGTGACATGTTATAAAATAGGATAAAGCAAATCTAATTTGCTGAGTTTAATTTCAATTTGTCTCTGACTGTGTGTCTATAAAAGACAATTAATTCTTCCAGCAGCTTGCTTCTAATTCTGCTTATTTTGTGTTTCAATACATCTGATCACACAGTGCGAGTATATTCTCACTCACATATCTGATGTTAGACAACAGCACAACTGAAAAAAAGTGATTCAGATATATTGAGAAAAAATCTTTACCCTCCTCCTTCACACATTAACCCCCCACAAAACTCAGGCTTATTACTGTGTTATTAGTTTTTAGGCAACAATGACCAACCTGTTCTCATTTCCATGTCTTTAAATACCAGCACATTGTCTCTGTGTGTCTCATACAGACAGATGCACAAGGTAGAATAACCTTTAGCATCCAGATGAGACGCACCAGGCTGCGTTATGTAACTCAAAATAAGCCAATGCTGAGTTTTGGTTTCACACGGGACACAAACAGCGATCTCCTGGTTTAAAGCCCTGTGTTTGTTTGACTCATCCATCC